TACATTCTCCAAGCCCCACCCAGCTGCTCCCCAGCGCAGCCCGCTTTGGGGGCCAGGCATGGAAGTCAGACGCCGGGGTGAGCTGGTTCTCTGGTCCCTCTTTGGTTTGCCTCCTGGCCCTGCCAGCCCCGGTGGGGTCCCAGCTCCCCTTCCCAGCTCCACTCAGAGTTAGAAACTGAGTCCCAAGGCCTATGAAGATACCTAACCTCCCCCACCCCCCAACTCCAGGCTCCTAGGAGGAGAGCTTTGTCCTACCCTTCCACCTCCAACCCACCCTCTGCTCAGCAACCTGGGCGATCTCTACTAAACACGCATCACAGCGGCTCCCAGGGCGCGGAGAATGAAGGTCACTGTACTTCCTGAGCTCTGGCCATGCGGCGCCTGGATCCGGCCAGCTCCTTCTCCCCCAGGACCTTTGCACTCCCTGTGCCTCCCCCCGGAACGCCCTTCCACCCCCAGCCCTGTCCGGATGGCTTCTCTTTAGCCACGGAGTTTTGTTGTTTAGATGTCTCCCCTAGGAGAAGCCTGGTAGCCTCCTCCTCATTATTCTCCGTGCTCCATGACACGGCCTCACGTCCTTCCGCACGCTCATCACCAACTGTAAATATTTTTCTTATTATTTGAAACATATTTCTGTAGTCTGCCCCTACTCACTCACCTGCTACATCGTAAACCTCACGAGAACAGGTCTGATTACGTCTTGTTCACTATTTTATTTCCAGCACCACCTCTGACATACAGCCATGGCTCAATGCCCTGTGATGAATGAATGAATGACGCAAATGTTGGGGGAAGGCTCAGAGGCCTGACTTTCTCCTTCCCAATTCATCTAGCACCACAGCTTCCACCACTAACTCATCCAGCCTACAAATCATTCACAACATGTGTGTGTGTGTGTGTGTGTGTGTGGCCGTGGGGGACGGGGGGGAGGGGCGGGAGGGAGGAGGACTGAGGTGATTGTGGTGAAGACACCAGACCCAATCCTTGTCCTCATGGGATTTCTGGTCTAGTTGGGAGGCAGAATCTGAATACCTGGTGTCTGGGCAGAAGGGGAAATACTCTGAGGCATCTGACCCAGTGTGGGCAATCAGGACTGGCTTCCTGGAGGAGGTGCCATTTAAGCTGAATCTAAAAGGATGAGTAGAGCCTTGGTAAAATAAAGGTGGAGCAGGAGAACACTTAACTCCTGGAGTCTAGATTTTCCTACTGCCCAATGAAAGCCAGTGAGGCTGCCCAGTGCTGCTCATGACACACTGGGCAGAGAGAATGGAACGAGGGCCTGCAAAGGGCTTTGGGAAATGGAAAGCACAGCGTCTGTGGGGGGATTGAGTTGGGGGAGGAGGGTACAGGGGTTGTTGAAGGTTCATGGGGATTCACCCTGACCTCTAGGGAGCCCTTGACTGCCATTGTTATGCCCAAGTGTCATAAACCCCAAAGACTACCAGGGAGCCGAATCCGATGCAATTGCAGAGAGTCTGTATTTATTTCGGACTAGTCCGAGCCCAGTCTCACCTACACCAACGAGGGCATGGGCGAGAAAGAGGAAGAACTTAACATATCAATGGGTTTTATAGGGAGGGTGGTGCTGCTACCTTGGCTGACCTGACTGGTTGGGTTAGACCTAGGGTCCAGTTACCTGGAGCTGGACCCGCCCCCACCTGCCCTCTCACCCCACCTGCCCTCTCACCATCAGGGGACAGCTGCATTCTGCAGGAATCAGAGAATTTGCCCACATAATCATCCCCGTGATGAGGTCCACCAGTCTGCTCGTATCTGAGCCGGTGTAACAGGTGAACGGAGGTGGAGACAGGGCGTGAGAGAGTGGGTGTGGACCACAGCCAGCTGGTGTGTAGGCGGCCAGCTGGTTGGACTGTCATCCACATCGTACCTCCCCACTTCGGAGGCCCGCCTAGCAGCAGACCCCGAGACTAGGATTCTGAGGGATCCCGAGTGAGCTGCCTGTTTGTGAGGATGTCCCGGGCAGCTGGGAGGGGGTGGGAGCGAGCAGGAAGGGAAGGTGCCCATATAGGTGCATCCTGCAGGTCGTCCTTGGTGGAACTTGGATGTATTATTTATGTCTGGCTTTCCTAGGTCACTGCCCCCTGGCACCTCTCATCACGCGGGGCTCCGAGAGGCGCCCAATTACAAATGCTTCGAAGGAATAGATCACTGCCAGTTTCAAACCGGGGGTGCTGGGTTCTGAGGCTCAGAATTAGAAAGGCCTTTGACAGTGACCTGTCCAAGGTGTGCCACACCTGCACGCTCCCCCCAGGGACAGAAGCCCTGGTGCCCTGGGACGCCCATCCCCCCCGGAACCCCACCAGCGGAGGGAAGCTCGGGGAGTCCCCAGGCAGCCTCTCCTCTCCGCTGCCCAGGAAACAAGGGCTCTCCGCCAATTCCTACTCCTCTTCCCAGCCTTCTCTCCCCCTCTCCCCAGCCGAAGAGGAAGTGGCTGAGACAGCTGTGGAGCTGGGACTCTCTCTAGTTGATATGCATTAATTTGTAAATATCTTCATTTATATGTAAATGTGGAGTCCCCGCGCCCCACCGCCGGCCCTAATGGGGCCCTGCAGCCTCAAGAAGCTGCCTCTTCCAGCGAGGACGCCCCTGGGGCTGGTGGAATCCGATTAGACTCCAGAGGTTGCTCCTTTCTCCTTTATGCCCAGGCCTCACTGTCCTCCCCTCCCCCCACCCCCATCTGACTGAGACCTGAGAGCCAGCACGGGAGCCCAGGCCAGGGAGTGAGCACAGGAGGGCGGGGCTCTGCTGCCCAGGCGTTCTGGTCACCCCGGAGACCATTCCTGCTGCAGGGGTGGGGCACTAGACATGATGGCTAGGCTGGGGTCCTGGGGTGGGGCTGGGGTCTCAGAGACCATGGCCACCGCAGGGGCGGGGTGTCAGGGCGGGCTCTGGGAAGCTTGGGGATGATTTAAACGTTCACTTGATGTAAACTCATCTGTGGGTCCCAGAATAGTTATTTTCTCCTCCAAAATGAGGTCTGCCTCTGTTTTTATCTTGATTGCCACGGGCTGGTCTTGGGTGCGCTTTAATATTTTAAGGCGACCCAAATCCTCTTTGGAAGCGGGTGCAGGAGAAATCGTAAATATGCGAGTGAGAGCACCTGTGTGGCCACGTGCCCCAGGCCCCTCAGAGCCCCTGTGCACCCACATTCTCACCGGATTCCCCAGCAAGAGGCGGGGTCTGCCCCCCCGCAGGAAGCCAGAGAGGAGGGGACCCCGCAAGGCCCTCCAGGTACACACCCCCTCCCGGTCTTACAAACATGGCCAGGGAGTCCTCATGCTGACTGGAGGTACCCTTTACCATCCTCTTATCCCATTTCCTCATTTTACACATGGGGAAACTGAGGCCCAAGGGGCCAAGGAGCAAACCCAGGACCATCCAGTGGATTTGCAAATTTCGTTGTGCACCTACTGTGAGTCAGGCCTGTGCGGGGAACTGAGGGTACAAAGCTAAGGGGTGAAGGGGCACCTCCTGGTCACAGAAAGGAGAAGCAGCCCGGGGTGGAGAGTGAGGGTCAGGCATCAGGCACTGAGTGGGAACGTAAGAGGCCCCCAGGAAGCACAGTGCACCCACTGTGTGCGCTGCAGCATCTCCCCGCGTGCCCAGTGTAGCCCAGTCAGACTGAGATTGGGCTTTCTGCACTAGGCAAAGCAGGTGGCTGTGTGAAAGAGTATGCACATGTGTGTGTGTGTGTGTGTGTGTGTGTGAAAGAGCATGCACGTGTGTGTGTGTGTGTGAAAGAGCACGCACCTGTGTATATATGGGAAAGAGCATGTACCCAGGTGTGAAAGAGCATGCACACGTGTGTGTGCGCGCATATGTGTGAAAGAGCATGCACATGTGTGTGTGAAAGAGCATGCACATGTGTGTGTGAAAGAGCATGCACCTGTGTATGTATGGGAAAGAGCATGTACCCGTGTGTGAAAAAGCATGCACATGTGTGTGTGTGTGAAAGAGCATAGATGTGTGTGTGTGTGTGTGTGTGAAAGAGCATGCACGTGTATGTGTGTGTGTGTGTGTGTGTGTGTGTGTGTGTGTGAAAGAGCATGCACCTGTGTATGTATGGGAAAGAGCATGTACCTGGGTGTGAAAGAGCATGCATGTGTGTGTGTGTGTGTGTGAAAGAGCATGCACGTGTGTGTGAAAGAGCATGCTTTTGCATGTGTGTGTGTGTGTGTGTGTGTGTGTGTCTGTGTCTGTGTGAAGTTGTGCGCATTCAGCACCTGTGTGAAGCTATTGTTCGTTCATGTTGTGAGTTCCCCTTCTGTGGGGGACAGGGACTGGAGGGGTGGCAGCCATGGGCTTTGGGGGAGATCAGCTCTGCTGGGGTGCAGGGGAGTCTAGCAAAGGCGTCCACAGAGGAGCCTGGGTTGGGATCTGAAGGCGGATGAGGAGTTGCCAGGTGACCACAGGGACAGGCACTCTGGGAAGAGGGCCCAGAGCTGTGAGGGTCAGAGGAATAAAAGGGGGCCTTTCAGGGAGTAGGGGAGAGCACGTGGCAGGGCTGGCATGGAGCTGGCTCCCTAAAGTCTGCTGGAAAAGGGGGAGAAGAATTTAGTCTTTCCATCCCCATCCTTCCTCTGCTTCTGACCTGGGCTTGCTGTGTAGGGTCTGTTCTCCTTGCCACATTTGGGGCCCATGGGCTTCAGAGCTAGTTCCCATGGCAACTCTGGCACTCCCGCCTGTGTGACGTTAGGCACTTCGCTCCCCTCTCTGGACCTCAGCGTCCTCGCTTGGAACCAGGGCTCAGAACATCCGCCTTGGGAGGGGCTGGCTGTCAGGGGTCTGCTCCGAGTGGCAAAGCTCAGACTTAACCCCTTCTTGCTTCTCCCCTCCAGAAATGGGTCCCACTCCTGAGCAGAGTCTGACTCTGCCTTCCAAGCACATGGAGGACAACCCTGAGGCCCCCCAAGAACCTTGTGCGATGGATGTAAAAGAGGGAGAGGTGGCCCTCCCCGTCCCCGAGCCCTGCCCCTCACCTCACGGTGGACTGATACACCAGGTCCTCCCTCTTGCGGTAGTTTTCCATGTGCGAGTAGTTGGTGGAGAACATGGCGTCGAAGGTAAAGATCTTCTGCTTGATGGTGCCGCCATCCATTACCTGCAACGGAGCACAGAGGCAGCCACAGGTGAGCGTGCAGCCAGTGTGGCCACCCTTTCCTCCAGGCAGCGGGGGTGGGGGTGGGGACTCCGGGCCCTGGGGATATGCAGAAGCCAAGAAGCCCACTGCCCTGTTGTCCCTGGAGAAGCTTCTGGGTTCCGGTCGCAGCTGCCGCTGGAAGCTCCCAGGACATCCCCATTTTATGGATGTGCAGACTGAGGCTCTGCAGGGCAGCGGCTTCCTGAGGTCCCGCAGCTGAGAAGGAGCAGAGCTGGCCCTTCTCTCGCCCTCTTTCCTTTCCACTGTGCCAGGGGCTCTACTTCCGCAGCCCTGGTCAGCCCTGCCCACAGAGCTGCACACTGAGCTGTGAATGCATTCTGCAGTGTCAGCCACAGAGTCATGGCTTGATCCCAACGCCATCCCCACCTGAGAAGAGACAGAATGGGGTGTGTGGAGTGGGGAGGAGGGGAGAGAAGAGGAGGGGATAGGCTGGCCAGAAGGAGAAGGGGGAACTAGGCGGCAGGGGCAGCCACATGGAGCAAAGATCTCATGGGGGACACTGACCAGCTACATTGCAATACTTTCTGATGAATCCTGCCCGGGGTGGGCCTAGAATGGCAGGGGAGCCCAGAGGAGGGGCAGCCCCCATCCTGGGGATAGGGTCATCAGAGAGGGCTTCTGGGAGCAAGAGATTTAAGTTATCTTCTGAAGGGAGAGCAGGACACAGCCTGGCAAATGGTGGGAGTGCTTCCAGGCAGAGGGGACAGCAGGAGCAAAGGTCCTGGGGCAGAAAGTAACAGTGATAGCAGGCCCTTCGAGGGGCCAAGTCCTGGAGAGAGAAGGCCTGAGGAGAGAACCGTGTGCCCGATCATGGAGGCAAAGGAGCCCAGTTTCCTGGGGAGGGGGTGGGGGTGGGGGCAACGGGGCCGCAAGATTTCAGATTCGCCCTCTGGCCTTCCTATAGGGTGAGGACTGATTCCAGGGGCAGGTTGGAGCCAGGGGGCTGGGGAGAAGGCTGAGAACCCAGTCCGCTGGCATGGGGGATGGAGGGAAGGGGACAGTGTGGCCGACCCACTCTTCCCTGGCCACCCATGGGACAGGCCAGGATGCCTCCAGCCATTTCCCCTGGGAGCACGGAGCCTGGAGAAGCCAGGGGACCAGGAGGCGATAGTGAAGCTGGAACCGGAGGACGAAGCTGCCTAGGTGCCCAGCTGCTCACCGCTGAGTCACAGCGAGACCCCGGAGTCCCCGGCTCCCAGCTGCCGCCCTCCACATCTCCGCCGCCGCCTCCCCGGGCCACACAGCCTGCCACTAATGAAAGTGTTACTCCACAAAGCAGCAAGGTGTGTGTTGTCACTGTTTCAATTATTTATCTGTTTACTTGGCTGCAGTTTTCCGCTTGTCTCAGCAACTCTATTATAGACTGAAAGCTTGCAGCCTCTCGCCACTCAGCTGGGCTCCGGGCTAACAACCTGCGGCGGAGGCCTCATGCCTGGGCCCGGAGAAGTGGAATTAGCTGCGTGTGGCTCTGCGGCTCTGCATGCGGAGGCAGGGGGAGAGGGGCTGGGAGGGCGGTGGCCGGGGCCAGGGTTCTCCGAGGGCCTGGGGTGGGGACGCTGGAAGCCTCTGCCCCCAACCCGCTTTGGCTGGGCACTGAGCTTGGGCCCGTCACCCTCCTGGGAGGGCAGGCCTGGGTGCAGCCGGGCCCCTCTGGGCACATCTGGGCCCAAGGTGACTTGAGCCATAGTGGTCTGGCCCCGGAGGCGCTGCTTTGGACCAACGCACTGCTGTCCAGCTGGCACTTACTGAGCACCAGCTGTGCTCCAGGCGTGGCCACCTTCCTTTGGGTCCTGCTCCCCAGAATGCAAGCTCTTCAGGAATAAGGAGGCCCCAGCCATAGCTGGTTTGGCTCAGTGGATAGAGCATCGGCCTGCGGACTAAAGAGTCTGGTCAAGGGTTGCAGGCTCGATTCCCAGCCTGGGTCGGGTCATATGCAGGAGACAACCAATTGATGTGTCTCTCTCCCATCAATGTTTCTCTCTGTGTCTCTTCCCCTTCCTTCCACCCTCTCTCTGAAAATCTAGGGGGAAAATATCCTGGGGGGAGGATTAACCAACCAACAAACAGAAAGAATAAGGAGGCCTCTCCACCAATGTAGGGGAAGCTGGCACCATGGCCCCTCGCCCTCTCCCTGCCTCTTCTGCATCTGGGCCAGCTTCCCAAGTAGGGGACAAGGAGAAAAGGGAAGAAGAGGAGCAAGGAACCCTTAACCCGGGTCTTAGCTGGGGCCTTTTGGCAGGGTCTGGATCTGGTGTTGGTTGTCACAACTGGGGAGGGGAGTAACTGGCATCTTCGGTAGAGGCCAGGACGCTATAACCATCATGGGGGGTATAGAGCAACCCCCCAAAAAACAACCTGGCCCACAACGTCAGCAGTGCCAAGGGCAAGAAACCTGCTCTAGGCCCACCGCTTCCTGCGGCCCCACAATGCCTCTGGAAAAGTGAGTGGATTGGACAGTCATGTTCCCATTTTGCAGACGAAGAAACTGAGGCTCAGAGAGGCAAAGTGATTCAGCCGAGGTCCCACACTGGGCTCGGCAAAGCTCTGGCTCCTAGAGCTGAGTCCACACCCCACGCACTGGGCTGAGAGAGGCTGTGGTGGGCCCACCGCCTCCCACCCCTCCTCTGCTCCAGCGCGGCTCTGTAAGGGGGTGGGGAGGGGTTGGGGGCACTCAGATGGTCAGAAGGGGAGGTCTGAGGATTTTCTCCTCCATGATAGTGGAGGTTGACTCACAGCCTCACCTCCCTTCTATCTGCTTTTAAAATCTGGCAGCCCTTATCGTCTCAATCTCAAATTTCACTCCTCTTTTAAAATTATTATTATTATACAAAGGAGGGAGAAAAAAAAAAAACTGCCGGTAAAACTGTCTGCTCGAATTTATCCTCCAGACTGAGGGTTTTATTACTAGGAAAATACACTGGCATGCCGCACGCACACACACCTGCCCACGCCGCGCCCCAGATAAAGCACCGGGGGATTATCTGAGCCATAAATCCCTGCTTTGGGCGGAGGGGCAGGGGAGTTTCAAGGACTCACCTATTTTTTCCTGTGGTTTTATTTACATCTTTTTCTCTGGGGCTGTGTGTCTGGGCTTCCTTGTTGGCCTGAGGGGTAAATACCTGCGTGTGTGAAACGGGTCTTGGGCAGTGGAGATGAGCAGGTGTGGCGTGCTTGCCATGGGCCTGGCATTGCTGGCAAACACACACTCACATAACTACCAGGGGAACGGCCGATAGGAATGAATGGGTGCGGTAGTCCCCCCTTTGCTGCGGTTCTGTTCCCCATGGTTTCAGTTACTCACGGTCAACCATGGCCTGAACATTATATTATAAATGGAAGATTCCAGAAATAAGCAAGCCCTACGTTTGCGATGGCACGGGTGTTCTGTGCGGCACGACGGAACCTCTCCCCGCCCCGCTCACTCCGTCCCAGCTGGGCCCTGAATCACCCCTTTGTCCGGCACGCCTGCATTATGCATGGAGTAGAAATGAGGTATTTTGAGAGAGAGAAAGAACGTTCACACAACTTATTACAGCATATTGGTCTAATTGTCCCATTTTATTATTTGTTTTTCTCGTTAGTCCCTTACTGTGCCTAATTTATAAATTAGGCTTTATCGTGTGTGTGTGTGTGTGTGTGTGTGTGTGTGTGTGTGTGTGTGTCTAGAGAAAAACAGCAGGCATAGGGTTCAGTACTCGTCACCGTTTCAGGCCTCCACTGGGGGGAGGGGGGAGTGCCTCGTGAATAAGGAGGGACAGCTATGTTATTTCGGTCCAAAGTAGGAAGGTCGGTTAGGGTGGACAGACTCCGATGAAGGCAGCAGGCACGTAGTAGGTGCTCAAACACGGGTGGCTTTTCTCCTCCCCGCCCCCCATGAGCATCTGAGTCCTGTAGTGTGGAAGGATCCATTCCCCTGTGTGGAAGAGAGTGAGAAGGCGGAGACTTGGCTTCTAAGTCCCACGGGCTCTATCTGCACTGCCCACCTCTCTGGGCCTCAGTTTCCCTAAATGCCCAAGGAGGGATGTTTGGGGCAGAGTGACCTCAGAGGGCCCTTTCCACTTGCATTCCCACAACGTTTTCATTCTAGAACAGCTGGCCCTCGAAAGCACAGCTACTCACGCTCTGGGCTGGCCCATGAGGGCTCCACCAGCTGCCCCCAAGGGCCCCCATGGGATCCCATCCCAGAGCCCCCGCTGCCCCGTCTCCCCCAGCAAATCTGCCTTCAGCAAGAAGAGGTTGATTTTCAAGTGTTGCCACCAAAGCATGTGGACAGGCTTGGCTCTCTCTCTCCCGCGAGAACCCGCCGGCCAGCCGGGGGTATTTCATTTGAAAAACATATGTCTCCAACGCCAGCCTCCTCACCAACAACATCCCTGGGTGCCATCATCCGAAGAGGGGGGAAAAAAAAGAAAGAATGAAAGAAAGAAAAAAAGGGGGGGCGTGGAATCACCTCTCCCACCCCCCAACCTCCTTTCCGTTGTGTTCCACAAAACCAATTACAGATTGGAAATAGCTGTAATAAACTTGATATCCCACTTAGGGACCAATTCCGCTGCGGCTGGAGAGCGGAATAGTGGCAGAGTGGAAAGTGCTGGTGTATTTTGCCGGCGCTGTTTAAATTGCCTGCCTACATTAGCCCAGCGCCTCTCCCGCCGGCAGGAAGGGCCGTCCTGGAGATGGAGAAGCTGAGGTCTCCGGGGTTGGGCAGGGAGAGGGAGGGTTTGCCAAGGGGGGTTTAATGAATGGATGAGACGTGGGAGAGTGGGTGGTGGCCTGGGCTCCCCGGGCAGGCAGACCCAGGTTCAAGGCCCAGCACGAGCAGGTCCTATAGGGTTGTCGTTGGGGGAAAAGGGACAGCTAATGAGATAACATAAGTGACCAATGTGGGCTGGACACTGCAGCAAGCAGTAGGAGACTCCGTGCTGCTGAGGGTGCCGCCA